TTGCTGCTCTAAGTAGCAGACTTTTAATGTTGACCCAAAGATCGCCTAAACCGAGTTGCTGATGAGTACACTCAAACAACAAGAGCGTAAGTCGAGCAGAGAACCATGTGTCTCTCTCTTACAATTGAAGCGCATCTAACCTTCTCTACCCCACAAAATCGTATGCAGCGATCTTTGTTCACATCGTCATTCTCTTCCTTCGGACATTGGTGCTAATTAACGCTGCTTTGTTGCGTAACGTGGCGAGATGTCAGTATTCGACCACTGAGCTTTTCTCCCAGCACAAATTCGAGATCAAATTTGAGCTCTTTATAAAATAACTGCTGGATTGGACTTCACAATGACACACGCTCTTCTCTTTTTATTCCGTTCACAACTGTCAGCCTCTGCTCGTGCGAGAACTTCAACCGGCTGGGCGTTAAGTAACCGAACATTTCAGTGTTAGTTCCGCAAACCGTGATCCTTAATGCACTTTCCATGATAATTAACAAAAGAGGAGACCCTTATTCGAAGTCGTTGTCTCTTGTCTCATTGGCTCATTGGCATCACAAACCCAGCACCTGTTATGATCATAGGAATACTTTTATGTAGTTAGACGTTTGCCTTGAGACCAATGTAGCTGCACCTCTGGGTAACAGACGTTTTTAAACGGACTCTTAGTGTGCTCTTAAACCGGTTATGTCATAGGGACTGTATTAAAACTCACTTCCTTTAAGCCGTGACCAAAAGCACCAAAAGCTCAACCTTTATCACTTTTCCAGGCTGTGCTGTGCGACCGGAATGGAAGAGAAAGCTAGTGGGATAGTCTTTCATATTAAGTGCACTACCCAGATGCTGAACTACAGCCCTACATACCTCTTCAGACATACAAATTTTATATTCTTTTCACGCTCAGTTACACAAGGAACCCCATTCCTTGTTTAGCTGCATTGTTGTTGGTCCGGAATTTACGACCAGGCGTTGTGTAAATAAAAAATCCAAACTGCCACAAATAGCCAAAGGTTTTATTGTTAGTTGGTTGGTTGCGCTTGCCATTGCACGGTTGATAGTTTGTATTTTTTATGCTTCTTTACTTTATTTTTATTTTTATTTTTTATTTATTTTTATTTATTTGTTGCATTCATTTAGCGTTTTACTGTACCTACAGGTCATTTAAGTACTCATCAATGATGGCCCATTTTGCTGTGGTTTATTGCCGATCTTACGCTCTCTATGCTAGTGAAGTGGGGTAGGGATAAGAAGTGAGGCAGGGTTCAACATGTGATTGTTTGGTGTTATTGCTTTAAAGCTGTTTAAGACCTTCTGATGAGATACTTTGGAAATTAAATTTTTTTCAAAAGATAACAATAGTAGTTTTATGGTGAATTTGAAATGTAATAAAAATCTGAGGCTTAATTTATGGTAACCCCTCGGTAGGGAATGTAAAGGGTCCTCGTAACAAAAAACCGTCAGCCATTCGGAGGTGGCTTAGTACAAGCTGTAGGTCCCTTCATTTGTTGGAAAAGCGCCAATTATATATATAATCTAAGAATCCATAGATCAGATCGAGCTTAAGCCAACTTCCCGGAAGAAAAAGTATTTTCAATGGCAATTTAGGCCTTCCTGGGAAATCTCTTCTTATAAGATGCCTACTTCCAAAATCGTTATTCGTACATTTCGGATCTGACTAATTTTGCTTCATTTTTTAACTGGCTAAATTGAGCTGAACAAAAATAATCCGAACTTTTTTGGAGGAATTAAAATATCCTTGGGCTGAACACGACATTTTTGCTATACTTTTTACGAGAGTGAAGAATGACGTCAACACAGTCTTTTAATGCAGCCTGAAATAATTATAATGTCTGAAACTGGTTCTTATTTTTTTGGTACTCTCTTTATTCTATTGTTTAAATCGAATTTTGACACAGAGAAGAGCACATGGGCGCTACTCCCATAAATCATTTCGGGATCGCCTTAGTTTCGGGAACAGTTCAAATATGAAAACATTTTTTGGACGCCAATAAGGACCATTCGCCACAGTCCACTACTAAAAACATAAGTATTCATGGTAGGAGTGCCTTGGAAAATATGAAATACGAAGAATAGTAGATGATAACTGAGTAATCTTTCAGATTTGAGCTGTCTTACGTCGTATAAAGTGTTCTTCAAGTTTAGACGTAATCTTCTCTTGAACATTGCTAGCGCAATCATACCTCAGAAATATCGTCTGAAACTGTACTTTCCTCTTTTGGTAGGCCTTTTCATATATTTTTTTTAAGCTCTTGGAAGCACTGCTGACTTAGCTAAAAAGCGTTGTTCACATATAGAGCAGATCTGTCACCCACATCTATGGTCAAATAGATGTGAGGTGAGTCAAGGTGAGATTAAACTCGGAACCTGAAAAGAGTGCTCGCATTTCTACAAGTGACTTTCAATTAGAGCTCATGATTTTGTTCGAGCATTTTCGTGCTGCTCGAGCATTTGAGCAACGAGTACTCGCAACTCATTTATGACTCTTTGCTCGAAAATTTTCTAGCTTGAGCTCGAACAATTCGAGCCTTTTCGAGCATTTCTACTAATAAAAAAATTTCCCCCAAAACTTTATTCTATAATTTTAGTATAAAACTCATGGAAATACTAAAGAAATCTTAAAAAACAAAATTGAAAATTTAAAATTTTCAAAGAATCATTTTGAGCCGTTGAGCAACGAACGAGTGTCCAGTTGCTCACAGTGCTCGATACACAGGTATCTAAAGCTCTACTTTCTACTCTCTTTCCATTTGATATTTTAATTAATGCTCTTAGAGAGAGACAATAGTATGCAGAATTGTAATTTGAGTTTGAATTCTAAGAGATTATTTGAGTCACTAATTCTTCTCAACAGGTGTTGTCTGGCTGAATAGAACATAGTCCTAAAAAAGGATAACAAATTTCTGAAACAGCCTTTCGTGTCATTGAAATTTATTTAATAATTAATTTCAACCAAGACTGATCCTAAATGGTCGCAAAAGCTGAGTGGTAGGAAGTACGTACTAGCATTCGGAAGAACTTTGTTCGAGTTATTAAACCGGTCGTTAAGTTATCGAAGAACCGGTTCAGAAGTATAAGATCCTTAGAATTTTCCGCGCCCAACTTTGGCACTGGCGGTCTGATTATATTGCATGTGATCTCGTTCAACCATCGTGAGTCATCTCCTCTGGTGCAGGCCAGTTTGTATCCTGACTATCGGGGTCGTGGGTGTCTATTCACTCGCTTCTATTTGAGATTCTTGTGGAGAAAAGATTATCGAAGCATAAACTGGAAATGTGTGAGTTTAGACCAGCTCCTTTGACACTTGTGTCAGAGATATTACTTTTATATGCATATCTTCCAAGGTTGAGTGGCATTCAATCTTATTGTGTTGCAACCCGCTTGTAGTTTCCCGTTTACGTCCAGAGGAAGGAAGTTCTGAAGCGTTAGCAGTGCTTTCTAGGGAATGCTCCCGTTAACAGGATGAATGCCGATCATTGAAGCTCTCTCTAGTTTGCTCCTGAAGGTGATTTTAACGATTTTGGGCTATTAGACGTCGACCTTGTGGAATAGGACTGGTCTCACTATAGATGTGTTTAACCAGTGTACGATACTCGGTCTTAGACCTCATCTCTTTTCTATCGCCATTTTGCAGGCGTGGAGTGCAGTTATAGCTTTCCTTGATTTTTCTGCCATGTTCCGGCTCCAGTTTAGTTTGCTATCTTAAGTTATCTCAAGATATTTGACTTGGGGGGAGAAAGTAATCTTCCGCCCTTTAGTTTGGGTGGTTTAAAGGCATGCGCTTTGTACCTCCTGGTAAATAACACCATCTCGACTTTATGAGGGTTCACGCTCAGCCCGCTATCTCTGCACCATCTCTCAACAATACAAACAGCATTTTGGAGTTAATCGCTTATTTGTTGTAGCTGTTTGTTTTCGTAGAATTAATTGGATTGGTAGAGATCTTAAAAAGTGATAAACTTCTGGGAAGGGGCAATCTCTTCTAGCAGGTAGTAGTTAGTGATAGGTGTGGCTGTATGCCGCCAACTCCCAGTTGGTATGTTTCCACTTCAACTGACATATTGAGTTAGCAGAAGTACCTACATACTTCCAAGGAGAACGGAATAAATTGATGGATCTGAGTTATTCAAAGAAAAATCAGAGTTAATTACAATGAGTTGGTTTTTCAAACCAATAGAGGGATCAGCGGGTCTTTTCAAAAACAATCCCGGACGGCTTTTCGTGGAGCTTTTCACTTCTTGACAAAAGTACAGACGAAGGGTTTGGCATTCCTTGTCCAGAGGAAACTGAAGTTAGAGAACTTTTTTTATATTGAACTGTCTAGAATACGATCCCATAAGCCTTCGCTTGACAATACACGGCTACAGGATTTTCTTGAGCTCTATTGGATGGATTGTTAAACTTTTTCTCTTTCATTCCATTCATTTACTACCTCGCTCTTTGAGTCTAATACTTCGCTATTGTTCTGTGCGTTATTAAAATTGATAAGCCTATTAGCGAAACTCAACAGATGCACTTCAGACCATTTAAGGATTATCATTTCTACATATGCCCAACTCTTCGCTCTACTAATTAACCCCATTTTGACATGCGTGCTTGAGAAAATAAGAGAAAATCAATGATGGTATCCACAACTCATGCGAGCAGTGCTGGCATTCAATTAAGAAGCTCGATAGTCATAAGTAACTATGTGTATGTATATATGTATGTATATATGTATGTATGTATTGTATATATGTATGTGTCAGCTTACTTATGGCACTAATTAGAATCACATTCGTTTATCTTAACATCAACACTCATTCACATATATAAATTGTATATAATTAATTCCAATTAATCTCCGCTTAGTTACTTCATATGGAATATACAAGAATACTAAAAAACTCATTTCTCTTTTTATCCCTCTCTCACTCTCTCTCTCTCTCTCCCACCCGCTCTTTACATGTACTTATTAATTATAATCCTGCGATGGCTGTGTGCACGAGCAGCTTGCCGATATGAGAAGGGTTCCTGGTCTGAATGTGCTACCGGTCAAATGACACGCGCTGATAAATTGAAGGCGACCAGCGATCCATCGTGCGAAGCAACACGTGTTATTAAGAAGAATTGCAAACCCGGCAAGTCCAAGGATAAGAGCGCCAAGGAGCAACGTAAGAATAAGGATAAAGGTGAGTGAGTTTATGTATTTAAGTGAAGATGATTGATTTGAATAATATGTTAATATGTAAGAAAAAAAAGTGTGAGAGTTTCATTTAATCATTTCTTTTTTGTTTTTCGGGCTTGAAGTCCCTACTTGTTTGTAGGGATGTTCATGAACGACCAAATGAAAGAGTTGGGTTAAATGTGCTGGAATTCCATTAGAATTATTGACTGTTTAGAATTAATTGAGCTTAGCTTTGGATGGAATGAGTTTCCCGGCTGTCCCACAGTTGCTCTTTTCATTTGATTAAATTTTTACTGCAGCTGATTTGTAATTATTGATCGAAAACGAATACCAACTAAGCCCATCAAGTCGATTCAGCCTAAAAAAAAAAAGAAATTAAATGTATAGCTCTGCATTTCGGTCCCCAGAGCAAGCCATAGTCAAATTCGAAAAGCCGTATGAACCCCAAACTTCAGACAAGAACTAGAGATTTATAAACCTACAGGTCTTTCTTTTCTACTAAAGCTCAATAAGATTCCGTTTTACTAATTACCAGACCTTATTTGTAATTATTCATCAAAAACGAATGCCAATCTACTTAGACCATCCAACTCACAAATTAACAAAACTGATCCCAAATGCCAAGCGACGGAGCTGGGTCCGAAAAGCATTGAGAATTTCATATCAGGCAGGGAGATTTATAAAACTGTACCTCTTCATTTTTTAACATAGCTCGATAAAGTTCTTCTTCACTGGCGTTGGTATCGCTCCAGGCTTGTAGCCGAAAAAACAATTTCGTGCCCTTTGGTCCTGCTCTTCACCGTTTGAAAATACAATACAAAACCATTTCTCTCTCCAGCAGGCCTTTCTATAATGGAGGTTTATCTTTTACACAGACTACTGGACTTGTGTAACGTCGTGAGCCTAAGCAAGAAACGCTACCCGGACGCGTCTTATGATCTTCAAACTCCATGCACAGAAAGATATAAGCTATTGGGGTTCCAATTATTCCAAAGGTCAATGAGTGTCCCAGGACCGAGTATCCAAACAGAGCTGATAAGATGCAAACTAAGGAACAAAAAATGCGATCAATTATCCATAAAGGAAACGAGTAATTACGTATAGAATATTTAGAATCACACTCCTGACTTAAAAGTCTTAAACCGTTGTCTCTTAAATATTTGATGTGTTCTTCATCAAAAAGTAAAAGTTCAACTTTCAATCTAAGTCTATTTTTTATGCGACGGATGCCTGGCACACAACTTCGCTGCACTAAGAGATAAAAATTGAGTAAACACCATTAAAGCTGGTGGTTTGCTGCAAGGCTGTCAACCGCTAACAGCGACACCTTTCGTATGTCATAGTGACACCACCAAGCTCTCTCGTGCTTTCGCCCTCTCCCTCTCTCTTTAGCCGTGACTCAATCCGCATAGATTCGTCACTCGGTGGCCGACAAGGATACTAGAGCTGAAACTGAGCATAATATTGCACCTATGGAGTTCTGTAGTTCGTAGTTCCTGCAGCAGAACTGCATCCTATTACATCCTTAATGGCTCTTTAAACTCCAATAAGCGATCTAGAAAATTCAACTTGAGCAAAAAAAAAAACCGAAACGATATATCAACTTTTTCTAGCGCAGGTTTCTAGACATAACGTAAAGCCTCTCCAATTGATATTTGAAAAGGAACAGAAGTCTTCTTCCGTTGGTTTTCGTTCTTCGCTAGGGAGTTGCAAAATTCCAGTAATGGTAATTTCCAGCCCTGTCAACTCCTCATAAATCTCCATCAGCAGCTCTGATGCGGAAGATTTCTGCATGAATCTCCACGAGGAATTCGAGAAGTAAGCGGAAAATAGCTTCAGCGCTCTTAAAAAAATTGTTCTTGAACAAGAAAAAGTATATCTTTGATACGAAAAATCATCAAATTCAAAGTGGTATTGAAATTTCAAAGGCTCAAAATTCAGTTCCCATCCGTTTGGGTTGAAATTCCCAGGATTCATATACTAAATGAGGCCCGGCTCATATCCAGTCTGCGTTTTACAGAAAATTGTAGGACTTGATTCTCGTCTGCTGCCCACACTGGTTATAACATTCCAAATTCTCCCAGCCATAAGATACCGACGGCACAGTCTAATCAGCCACTTTTTCGGTATTCGCTGTTAGCAAAGAAGGAAAAATCTTACGCGAAATCTATTCCGCGAAAACTTCTAAATGTAATATGTATATCTTATCAGTCTTTATTTAAGTCTAGTCTTCAGTCTTATGGGACTTGCAAACTAGTGTATACTCGTATAGATATTCATCAAGAGAGCACTTTATTTCACAATACCCAACTCAGTCTGTCTCTTTTGCTTACCTTCTAAAGCATTTTCTACCGACTTTCCGTGTGGCTAAAGTCAAACTTTGTTCACAAGAAGTTTAAGTTGACAGCTGGGCTGAGCTTTTGCTGCTCTATGAAAGCTTTTAGTGATAATTTAGAATTTTTACGTATCTTTTCCTTCATTCTTTCTGCTTTCTTTTCGGCGCTTAATTAGTTTGCGCTACAATGAAACTATTTCGGTGTCTGTAAGTCAATTCCTAACAGCCCAAAAGCATTCCAATCTGATCAGAGTTAACTTCATTAATTTATCTACCGCATATATAAGCCACACTTCAATGCCTCTCGTAATCGAGTCAAGCATAATGAGCAATATCCCTCTAGTAAGTATGCAGACACTCAGTGAAAGGAGTGTGAGCTGGATTGTTGCACTGACTTCGATTTGCTCAAATTAATTGGCAATTTAAATGAACTAATTCTATTCAAAATGCACTCAATACTCGTACTCCTTTGACCGCTAAACTAAGCGGCCTATTGTTGAATTCTCTTAGGAATGTGCCTTGTTCTCATATAAATGAGTTCGTGCATACGATTATGTACGGCTAATGCAGTCCTCGTTATTACTAATCGAACAGATGTCAACATAAAGGAAATATTTGGAGAGTGATAAAATCAGAGGTAATACATTTTGCGGTTTTGAATAAACTGAATAAAATAAATAAAAACCTTTTTTATTGTGAAGTTGAAGTCTTGGCGTTCTATGTGACTTTTTGGCAAACTTCGATCCGTTTGAGGTTATTTTCGCTCATATTTTGGCACATATTGAACGGTATCTCAACCAAAATCAACATACGTCATGGCTTTCAGGTGCTCAAGAGTTAAGGGTCTAAATATATTTGGTAGACTTACAAAAGAAGCCCACATTTTCAAAACACACAATCTCGGTGGCTCATTGACATCGCCAACACGAGAGATTACGTGGTCGCGAAATTTCTCTCGAAAAAAGTCATATTCGTGCGTGTTGTGTAGCATGTGGCACCACCTTGTTTGCACCATCTTGCTTGCGCCACCTTGTTTGCATCATATAAGACGTATTATTCAACTGCAGATCAAAAAAGATAATGCTGTATGCTCTTGTAAAAGAGTGTACCTTCTCTATGCCGCTATGCAGCTCAAACTAAGGAAACTACTCAATAAAGAGTCACCCTGTTTGAAACCTGATTTTGTATCAAACGGCTCGGAGAGGTCCTTACCAATGCTGACTGCGTTTTTGGTGTTGTCCATTGTACATTTATCAAGCTGCATAAATTTTGTGGAGATAACAAATTCAGACATTGCGGTGTAGAGGCAGCTCCTTACAGATGGGTGGAAGGAAACATTAAAACCTATGAAAAGATTCTTTTCTCACGGGTCTTTTGCATGATTTGCTGCATGTTGAATATTTAGTCAATGGTGGTTTTATCAGATCTAAACTCCTTGATAAGGTCCATTCAATTTGATGGTGAGCTTTAGTCTTTAATACAATATGCTCGAAAGTAAAAGTTGATACCACGCTAAATGGCACAGGCTGTTGGGTCAACATTTTTATGGATTGAGCAGAACACACTTAAGTGCACGCTTTCGGCCGACCGTATCCTGTGCACCTTGTAAACTCTTCACAGCCTTGTTTAAATAGCTCAGCCGATAGCTGTTTCTGTTGCTTAAGTGGGCAAACGCTATTCGAACCTAGTCTTTTTCCGTAATAGAACTTCTTTTCCATAGTCATCGATTGAGGTTTCCTTATTTCCGGCGATTTCATGTTTTCACTGTCATTCAGCACGCTCTGGAGGTGTTCTCTCCAACACCAAGTATGCTCTGGATATCGATTACCATATTTCCACATTGATTCCTAGATCAGTGTCTGCTACTCAGAGGTTTGTACCCATAAGCGGGCATCGCAATTCATACGAAAGTGTCGATTAAGTAAAGGATTAAGAACATAAGGCATATGTATATAACAGAGATGGTGTGGTCTTCAGATAAAAGAGGCATAGTCAAGCCTTGAAAGAGAATGTAATGAATCCTCAATGAAGAGGGATGTGAAAACGAATTGCTCTATGAGTAGAGAGACTTCAGAAACCGAATTGAGTTGTTGCCCGTAAACAGTGGCACTCATAGCGAAAAGATAAAGCGTTCCGCTCATAGTTTTTTTAGCGTTCAGTAATAACTGATTCCGGATGTACCGAGATTGTAGTTTCGAGTTTTACATGAAGCGCAAAGGTATCATTCGGATTTTTGATTTCTGAGTAAATGTTGAGGTCATCAGTATCCAGAAGAAACCTCGATAGACATACGCAGCAAAGCAATTGCTAACTCTGCAATTCTCAGTAGACTTGTATGGTGGTCCACATATGAAATAATTTGGAGATCAATTTAACAGATTTGAGATTTTTATTTTAATTGCTGTCCAATAAAATCTAGACGTTTGCATACAACTGATTAAAAAATATTCAGAACTTCGGTTCATCACCTTGGGTTCCTTGTGAGTATGCTGAGCGCTTGAAATATTCGGTACCTCGGTTCACCACCTTGGGTTCCTTGTGAGTATGCCAAGCGCTTGAAATATTCGGTACCTCGGTTCACCACGTTGGATTGCTTATGAGTATGCTGAGCGCTTGCATTATTCGGAACCTCGGTTCACCACTTTGGGTTCCTTGTGAGTATGCTAAGC